GCGCCGGGAATCGAACCCGGACCTATGGATCTGTAGACAGGAACATTGACCACTAGACAACAGAGGCGGTCCCACCCCTCAACTAAGCGAATTAAAAAATTAAAATTAGTAATGCCTATAATTTGGAACGGTAGGACAACATCAAGCGGGGCCCACACTAGATTTCATTTTATGTGTCTTAACACCTGTAGGATATCTGACAGAGCATAGAATATTTAAATATTAATTATATTAATGCCGGTCACGGTAGCCGAGAGGTCTAAAGCATGTACCGTCTTCGCTCGCTCGGAAGCCGGGGTTGTGAGTTCGAGTCCCGCACAAGACATCGATGTTTTGTGTGTGTATGCGTTTATTCTGTGTTTGTGTTGTCCTGTGTTTAGGTAACGGCCTTGCAACGAGCTGATCACTAGTCCAAGGAGTCCTACCGTCTGTAAAATGATCATGAAACTTGGAAATCAGCATAATGTTCCAAAGTGGGAGCAAGAGGAGAGAAACAGAATTCTATTAATAATAAAATTTTTATACGTTTGACATATCTTCAAAATATGCTGAGTAGGTTATATAAGATTTCTCTCTTGATGTTGTCCGACCTGCGGTCAATAGGAAACAGCCCAATCTGGATAGTGAGTTAAAATTAATTGCCGAAACAAGGGCTGGATTGACCGCCCTTATATGAGTCCCACAGTAGGTTTGAAGAGCATGAGGCGTGTAAACCACCCCTTATTCCACAGTCACTCTTCTGCATCGCAAAATAAGGGCAAGGTTGTCAAGAGACCCAGGGGGAAGACGAAGCAATCAGCTACAGTACAGTTCGTATATATCGACGCGAGATATCTTCCTCAACCTGGAACTGACGAATACATTTATTGCATAAATAAGTGTAAGTGACAGATGTCATCCTGAGAATAAGCCAAGCATACCAAAATGTCTTACTCAGCTTCATTGATCCTGACATATCTGACATTTTTAAAAAAGCAAGGCTTCTATGTTCACGCTCTCGTAATAATCATTACAATCAGGATTTTTTTATGTCTCCAGTCGACAAGTCCTATTAACTGTAACAAATGTAAGATTTCAGGTTTTCACGGCGGTGACTATGAAGAATGCCGTCTTCTGGGATGTGGCGCCGTGTAGATATTTTTTAACTGACGTTTCGGAGGAACATATCGCGTGAGCCACCTGTTCACGCTGGTTCATCGCTCGCGGATTTCTTATACCCTGAAGATGGAGGCGATACGTTCATCCGAAAGGCCGGTTAACAAAATATCTACACGGCGCCAAATCCCAGAAGACGGCATTCTTCAACTGTAACAAACTTTACGCCACTTTGTCTAATGTTTGGAATAAGCAGTACTTAAAATCACATGTTTTGGGAGTTTGATGAAATTTGATGCCAAAATTTCTCATGCACTATACATGAAAATATATTACCATATAAAATAACCTAAACATAAAGTTAACCGGTCCTTATCCGTTTACAGGTAAGCCTAACTGGCTGTCAGAATATCAGTACATACACGTGTATAACGAATTTACTGGGTCATATTCTGTGCATATGGTCAACCTTCAATATAGGAAAAATGTCCCTGTGTTTAATTAGTTAAGCATTATGCCCTGAATACTTATGGGGGAGTGGAGGTAAAGCTCCACCTTCCTTGACCTCGGTACTAGATGGAAGTGAGCAGTCAGCTTTATACCCGGAGAAAGAGCCCACTGTACCCATTGGATAGGAGGCTTAAATAATATTATAAAAATAGAATATATCCAAATAAGAGTTGACATGTATGTAAATGGAGTACACATATTTTCCACTGCTCTCCATATTCATTTGTTAAGGAAAAAATCTATTACTGAAAGCCATTCGTATTACTGATGTCACTTTTCACATTCAGAAATGATTTTATTTGTACTTTGATTTTCAGTGTCATCCATTATGTGGAATAGTAGACCCAAGCTATGTCACACTAAATTTTCTCTGAGCTAAAACAACAGATACAGAGGGGCAGTGCTCTATTTACTGTACATCAATATGGCTGCCACTGTTCTAGGAAGCATGGACTGGCTATGCAATGATGAAAAGGACTGACGAGTGTCGCTTCTGGACTCACACTTACTCTGTGTCGAAAATGCACTAACTGAAGATGCAGAGTGTTTTCCATGAGGTTAGGAATGGGATTTTGAAATATTATTTATATGCATTTTAGGCTTAAAAGAATTAAGCCACCACTACTCTTCCTGCCTCCTGTTTCTGGGAAGCTGCAATAATTAAACGGTACTGAGAGGTTTACAGACATAATACTGCAGCAGTAAATGGGTTTAGAGGCACTTCAACAGCATGGCTATTCACACCTACTGATATTTGTGAGTGGTCAGATCTACGTTCTGCCCACGTTACCCTTGCATGAGGAGCTACAGGAACACATTGACAAGATCCTTGGTATCATTCAGCCTAGATGAAAAGGTAAAAAGTTAAAGTTGTTCCTGTGCCTAACTAATTAAGCACTACACCATGAAGGCGCATGGGGGAGTTGAAGTATAGATCCATATTTTCTTAACCTTAGCACTAGCTGGAGGTGAGTAGTCAGTTTCACGCCCCTGCCAGTTTAACTCACCGAAAGATTCCCTGGTACCCATTCTATAGGAGGCTGGGTTGGCCCCGAAGCCAGTCTGATGCTGTGGTGAAGAGAAAATTGTTGACCCTACAGGGACTTGAACTACTATCACTTTGTCGTCCAGCCTGCAGCCAGTCACTATACCAACTATGCTATCCTGGCTCCTAGATGAAATGATAAACAGAAAAATTATGTCCCTGTGAGAAATTAAACACCCGCTAACTTACATCCACAGCCAACCAAGTCTCAATTACTATAGTTTCCACATGTCCTCACTATGTGAAAGAATTAACAATTTACAACATAGTTTGACTAACTTTATGGTGGATTTCCAATTTTGCAGATGATAATCAATTAAGCAAGAAAAAAGGTCTTTGTTCATCAAGTATTGACTAAAATTCTGCATCCATTTCTCATCCCTCATGCATGCTACATGCCCCATTCATTTGCAACAAGGTCCCACCAAGTTGACTTTAAAGATTCTGATGATGGTGTATGCTGTATAGAACTATAAGGTTTATTTTGAACTCTATCCATCGTCTGGTATATATAAGACAAAAAAACCACAATGTTTCGAAGACTGGATCTGTCCCCATCCTCAGGTGGATGGGGCAAGATAGACCTGCTCAGTTGGGCCCGTTAGAAAGAGCTAGCCTCAATCAATAGACGAATTTGAGTGATTCAGACTAGCTCTTTCTAACGGGCCCAACTGAGTAGGTCTATCTTGCCCCATCTACCTGAGGACAGAGACAGATCCAGTCTCTGAAACGTTGTTGTTTTTTGTCTTTTATATACCAGATGATGGACAGAGTCTGAAATAAACCTTATAGTTCCATCCCCCCAAGTTGTCTCTATACCATAATATTTTCCAAAAAGTATTTTATATGAATTTTTATTTCTCCTATGTGCACTGAATGCTCCCCAAAATTTATTCTGCTCCCTTTAAACACTCTGTTAATGTTAGGTGAAGAGTACAAGTTATGAATTGCTTATTTCTGTAATTATTACCACTTTCAAATAGTTCATCTCAGTTAACATTCTTATTGCCTTTCTTCTCACATAGAAAAAAATAAGCTTTTTATATATTTTGACCATTAACATATTCTGGAAGGCAGAATAATATGAGTACAAATTAATGTCTATAAAGAAAAGATGGACTCAGATTTCTTCCTTATCACAGTCTTTCTGTGGGCTTTCCTCATAAACAGATATACCTAAACTGTACTGTGGGATGTTAAGCCTGACAAACATACAGCAAATAATGTACAGAACTTTCATCCAACATATGGTCCAGTTTTCTTCTCATTTTAAAATACAAATTCTGTATCAGTTTTATAATTTACATAATGTGAACTACATATTGTATACAGTTAATAATTTCTAGCACCTGCCATGTTGAAATCATATTTCACCACAGAATTTAACATGTATACAGGTCTGGTTATGAATTTATTCAGTAATGATTCAAGTGTAAACAAACAAATTTAGTAATTTAATTCATGATTCTAAATAAAGATATAAATGCTGTCTTTTCTTGTAACCCAATTAGAGGTAAGTAATTAATTGTTCAGAGATTTCATACTAAGCTGCTCATGGTATGATTCCAGAAATATTTACCACTTGCACGCAAACTCCATTACAATATCATTTATACAAATACACATACTTTAAAAAATGGTTTAATAAATGTTAAACCAATATCTATTTTAATTATTCTGTAAAGTGCCTGACTACAGGTTGGAAACTGCAGTTCGATTCCTGGCAGAGGATAGAGTTTTCTTTTCATCAACATATCTAGAACAGCAAAGGGGCCCTCCAACATATAAAATGAATACAGTGGCTTTCTCCAGAGTATGAAGCTAACAACTCACTTCATCTACTGCCAACGTTAAGAATGTGTGAAGCTTTCTTTACCTATGCTTAGCCTAGCCTCAGGGGTATGCTTACCTTCAGACAATAAAATGATCATCCACAGGAACTCTTTTGAGTTCATTATGTACTCTGTGTGTCATAGTGACCTCCTGAGAGAAGAGAAATTAGTGAAATGCAGAAAATGTTATATAGCCCCTTTTTGATTAAACCAAATGGATTGATTTTCTGTCTGCGACAAAACAAAACCCCTAGGAAAGAGAAGGGAGGATGTGAAAACGGACCACATGCTGATCCAACTACAGTCCACTCACTCCAATTCCTGCATCTGATGGCATCAACACATAACAGATAACTAAGAACCCCTTATTGTAACCCTAAGAGCTCCTCTGAAATAAAAACAAAGATATGTACCCCCCCACTAGTTCCTTTGGGTCTTACTGAGGTGGTGGAAGGAGAGGGTGTATCGGAAAGTACTTAAGGCATGCTGTACCAATTCATTATTGCAGTTTGAGAACTTTCAATCTTGCTGGCAGTTGTCTCATTTCTGCAGTTTCTGTGGTAAGTGGCATTATGAATATAATATACTGAGTTTGTTCTGAAATGCATTTTGTTTCCTAAACTAGTGGGAATTGATAAGAACATTATTTTTAGCAACATAACAACAAATATCATAATAAATGTGTCATTTTTACTTCTATATTTTGAAACAAACATGCAAGAAAATATCAAAACCACATATGTTTGGCATTAAACAGAAAATAACATATAACGTTTATTTTAACACAATGAGATAAACAGGTAAAGTTTCCTTTTTCTGCTTAATTAATTAAGCACTGTGCCTTGAAGACATATGGAGTGGATGTATAGTTTCACCATTCTTGTCACCTGCACTGGAGAATGGCAACAGGATACACTGTTCAGTGCAGTTCCATGGCTAACACCAGGCGACACACTATGTTAATTACTGGTCATATGCACAGTGCCATATTTTTCTTAAATGTGCAGTATTTCCTTCAGCTTGAAGTAAAATGTTTGTAGATGTCTATGGTATACATTTCTTTCTTCTAACTCACTCTACCATGAATATTTTGACTGAAATTATGTGCTTTTGGCTGAATGTGCTTAAAGTATCCAGTCCCCAGGAGGGACAGGGGAACACACCCTGTCACCACTGTTAAAAGAAATTTAGATTTAATAACAAAGTGAAGAAAGTGTTCTCAGCTGACGGTCCTTTTGAGGTCCTGTTTTGAGTGGCAGAGACTAATTCTGCAACAAGAAATTATTTTAAATTTAAATCCACTATGATGGCAGTCTGAATACATTCTAGTACTATTCAATGATGGCTCATCAGCCGTAGGGTTTATGTGCCATCAAACAAATGGCTGCACCATAACATATTTTCTCTTATTTACTACCATGGCACCATATGATGATATGGCTTGTATATACCAGAACAGAAAGACAGAAAGCTTTTAAGATCTAAAAGTTTGTGACGATGGTACAGTAGTATAAATACTGAAATACTGAAAGTCATGAGCAACAATTTTTGTAAAGTAACATGCTTTATTATTGACAAACCAAATACACCACCTCAATCTACAGACCTTTCTTTATTTTTCCACATAATCACCACTTTTTTGTACACATTTCTCCCAGCATTCTGGGAGTTTGAAAATTCCCCTTCTGTAAAATTCCGTTCCAGCCATCCGAAGACACTGACACACTGCTTTCTGAATTGCCTCCCTTGTCTCAAAACGTTGTCCACGCAGCTGATCCTTCACAAATCCAAAAAGATGGTAGTCGGAGGGTGCCAGATCAGGGCTATAGGAGGGGTGTGGAAGAACTCCTCACCCCATCTTTGCAACTGCTTCCAATGTGAGGCGAGCGGTGTGGGGGTGAGCATTGTCATGCAGGATGATGATGTTTCATCCCGGACGTTTATCGTGCAATGCACGACGGAGCTTGTGCAGCGTCTGGATATAACGAGCAGCATTGATGGTTTGCCCAGGTTGCAGTTCCTATAGCCTAAGCTTTCAATCATCTCCTGTACTGCACTGTGCCCTATTCCAAGTTTTTGTTTTGGCTATTGTGTCCACAGTCACATGCCTGTCATCTTGAATGATCTCATCCACTCTTTCCTTGTTGCGTTCAGTTGAGGATGTTCGAGGATGACCGCTCCGAGGCTCATCTTTGATGCTGGTGTTCCCATCTTTAAAATGTTTCACACATCTTCGAACACTGCTCGCACCCATGCACACACTTCCATAAGCACGCTGAAGTCTCTGGTAAATTCCTGCAACAGGGATTTCCTCTTTCACAAGAAATTCGATGACAGCACACTGGCGAAACGACATATCGTTGTTGGCCATTTTGTTAGGAGTGATACTGGTCACGTTATGCGGCTATTGATGTCACAAGACACTCAAGGTTAACACAACAGCTGGTTCCACCTACCACCGTACTCTCTTTTGTCTGCTGTTCCCAGGTTGCATGCAAAAAAAAGTTGCTCATGACTTTCGGTACGACCTATGTATTATGTTTCTGGACATTATCCATTGTTCTAACAGTGTTTCTTTCATAAAAACAGGACAATATATAATGTCCAGAGACATAATATTTGTAATATGTAGGTTGCTTTATTCATTAAACCAAGTATTGCTGCCTAGAGTCAAAGTAGTAGCAGGCACAGCTTTCTGCATTATACTGTACACTGTCTGATAGCAACAACCACAGAAGCCAACAGGAAATGAAAGGATTCTGGCACTACTGATTTGCTTAACCTTTAAGTGCCGAAGTGCCCAGTTTGTGCCAGTCATGAGTAAGGTCGTCGTGGCCAAAGTACCCAGTTGTGACCAGTCAGGCATTTAAACTCCGCTAGTGGAAGCGCGCGCACACGCCGCTAGTAGAAGCGCATGCACAGTCCTGAATATTTATTTTTAAATGTAGNTGATACTGGTCACGTTATGCATGCTATTGATGTCACAAGACACTCAAGGTTAACACAACAGCTGGTTCCACCTACCACCGTACTCTCTTTTGTCTGCTGTTCCCAGGTTGCATGCAAAAAAAAAGTTGCTCGTGACTTTCGGTACGACCTATGTATTATGTTTCTGGACATTATCCATTGTCCTAACAGTGTTTCTTTCATAAAAACAGGCAATATATAATGTCCAGAGACATAATATTTGTAATACGTAGGTTGCTTTATTCATTAAACCAAGTATTGCTGCCTAGAGTCAAAGCAGTAGCAGGCACAGCTTTCTGCATTATACTGTACACTGTCTGATAGCAACAACCACAGAAGCCAACAGGAAATGAAGAGGATTCTGGCACTACTGATTTGCTTAAAGGTTTTGACGCTTTTCTCAAATGGCTCTGCTTCTCTTCTAGCAATGAAACAGCTAGGAACTGTCATGCTGTTTCTCTGCCTACTAAGGATGGCATTCACATCCCCTGCCATCCAACTGGAAGATGGCCGTTATCTGGATCAAGAGGTAATTTAGACTACAATATGATTGGAGAGAGAGACTATAATTGAATATATACTGTTTGTGAATTTGACGGTCATAATCTTCAGTTACTGATGATACAAATCAGTATCCAATATCTACAATCTTAATTGTCCTGTGCTGAAATTTTGTGGAAATAATTGGTATTGTACAGGAACATTCAAGCTTATTATTGACATATTTAATAAAGAATAGAGAAAAGTATGAACTTGCTTATATTTCAATTAAATATACAACACATAAAAATGTTTACAATCAAAGTTATAAATCTTACTTAAGTTTATATTTTTGGTGTGTACCAAAATTTCTTTGCATTAAGATCTATTTTTTTTTTAGAAAACATACAGAATCTGATACAAGAATTATATATAGTAAGGGATATATTGAATAAATATGAACAAAAATCAAAACTACCTGACAAATTTTCGTGTAAACCAACAATAAATTCAATAGTTATATGTTGGAATTGAGATTCTCAGTGTAGTGATTATGAACATACTATCTTTTGGAATGTGACATCATGTAGTCTGATACTAGTACTATCTTCTGGGATGTAACGCCATGCATACCAGTAGGATTTCAACAACATTCCTCCAAAACATCAGTGAACTTCAACCAGATCACACAGTGTCACTTCCCAGAATATAGTAAGTACTCTTCTTAACCTAAATATATTCTATAATTTTGAAAGCTGGGGGTTTATCCCGATTCGAAAAATTGTACACTATCCACTATACAAATCACACTCTAACTTAAAAAGCTCATGTTCATCACTATTTGGGTAGACTATATTTGTTTTTTAATTTCACATTCTCCATTCTCTTCACCTTGTACCTTCAAGTGGAATAGGCACTGGATTTTATCTAAAATAACTTGCACATAGTTTTCTATGAATATTTTCAATATGGAGATACAGCAACTATATTGCATGCTGGCATGAAAAGTGATCTGTATTGTATCAAATTGAAGATACTCTGAAAATAAGGTAGTGCATATACATAATAGGAAAACACTAGGTATTTGATTCAAAATTTTCCTTGTAGTGAACAAAATATTTTCCATTCTTTCTTTGGACCTTTAATCCAATAATCCATTCTAGTTACACAACATAGAAACAAATTTTGGAATGAAATTAAATATTCCTCTTATCTTATTCCTTTAGGTAGCTTAGTGCTTCATATGGAATGTTTCAGCTGTATGCAGGGAATGCTAGAGAATTAGCCAATTGGATAATGCAATTCCTCTTACACAAGGGAGAACCACCAGTATGCACCCATAAACGTAATTCGGAACTGATAAACTCTCTTCTTGGACTGCCAAAAGTACTGAATGAGGCTGGGAGGAAATGAAATTGGTAAGAAAACAATTATCTCTGTAAAATTTAATATTGTATTGTTTTGTAAAATGAGAGTGGAAAGTTGTACTACAAGTTGGAGTAAGCATGAAGAACCCCATCTTCTGGTATATAATGCTCTGCAGTCCCTTGAAAGCCAACTACGTTTCAGAGGAGGATATCACTTCCATCTTCAGGGTTGAAGAATAGGCCACACAAGAAATCAGCAAGAAAGAGGCAACAAGCAGAGCAACCCACCTGCCAAAGACTTGTGTTTACACAGGAAAATGGGAGGGGGTTGCAAGAGAACTGATAATTTCCCATTGGCTCTCACAGAACAGAGCGAACTAATTTGAGTTCAAGACAACTTGCCAACTTCAACTGGTTTCATCACAGAAAATCATGAACCAGTAGGAGATGAGACATGGTTAAATAGCCTTGGTCCTGAAAAGGGCTGCTAGTGCAGATCTGAGAAAGTAGTAATGTTGTGCTGACAGGGATCAGTTGAGAATGGAGCAGAAGTTGAGTGTGTGAGTTGCAGGCATGCAGTGGGCATAAAAAAGAGCAAAAGTTTTGAAGGGAGGCCAGGACAGGAAGGGCCTAGGGATGATTGGTTCTTGAGAGGGCACAGTTGGTGCCCTGATAAGAGCAGGGTGCGTGGATCTGCATGGCCCTGTGGAGAACCTATCTATAGGATCCTCCGAGGGAGGCTTCTTATGATATTTCAGGGAGAACATGAGAGGTTTCCATGACTTGCTTGGGCAGAAGCCATTCTCCCTCTTTATATTATTTGGATTGAGCTTAACCTCAGTCACATCCCTGATGGTGTGACCCATTTGTCTGGCTTTACTGGAGAGGATGCTGGTGTAATGCACCTGGATGCAGTGCTGCCAGTTGATACTGTGTTCTGCTATGGCTGACTTGTTTGCATCTTCCAGCTGGATACGCCAACGGTACTTCTTCAACCTGGTTTCGGTCACTGTCCTGCCTGTCCAATGAAGACCTGATTGCATTCACAGGGGATACTGCATACACCCAGTGCCTTCAGTCCCTGGTCATTCTTGAGTAACCAAAAGAATCAAGATCTTCCTTGGCAGGAGGTGAACTGACCTGAAGTTGTGCCAGGGCAGCACTCTGCTACTGCCATTGTATATCAACGTGACACATGGCAGGAAAGCAACTGAATCCTGTGTAATGTTGGACATGGCATCCTTTGCAGGACAGACTGAGGGCGTTGCAAATCTGTCGGTTGCAGCAGCCATTCTGCCTGAAAATGTTCCTCAGGCATTCCAGTTCAGCAGGCAGGCTGTAACAATTTAGATTATAACATAGTGTTTGTGTGTGTGTTAGTAAGTGAATATTTACATATTCAAATTTGATGTTGTGTATATATACAGTTCCCGTGGTGGTGTTATTATGCTGTAGCAGTTATGTTGGAACTAATTGTTAAGGGGTACCTGTGTATGATCGAGTGGTATGAGGTGGGGGAGGGGGGTAGTGCTGTGGGCGGTTATAGCCAACTCCACATATAAATAACCTGAGTGTGACACCCAAAATAACAAGTACAACCTTCATACAACAGGTAACCACCATAGATATGAATATATGAGATGTCCTACATAATATTGATTGTAATATATATAAAACTGAGTAAACCTCATTTTCCAGGAAGGTCAAGAACCAACATGACCCATATTCTGAGGAATGATCCCAGCACACAGTTACCCCACATCACAACTATCATCACCACAGTGGATCAAAAAAAAAAACAACACATATACAGATATGTACTGGTCACAAAGTCTTAAATAACACTTATATGTTATAAATACATTAATTGCTATTTTAATTCTAATTTTAATTTTTATCCTTTTAATGTCAAGTTCTGAACTGAATTTTAACCACATTTAAATTAAAGTGTATTTGTTGCTACAAAGATTCATAGAAACACAATATGAATTCATACTAATTGATGATGTAATTCGAGAACCAGTATTCTTGTATGTCTGAAAATGACCCAATAAAAGAGTCAAGTCATGTAGCATTATCACCAACAGCTAATAAAAACAAATGTTGACCAGTAATATCTGTTCATCTGTTTCAGAATTACTGTTGTGTAGATTGTCCCATTTTGTATGACACACAACAGGATGCATACCATAAATGTTCCTTTTGGAGTCTTTTTCAGATCTTGATATTTATTGCTACAGAACAATAGAACAATGACAATTTATTTCTTCTTCAACTCTTTAAATCTTGTATATAATATCTGTCTGAAATAGGCTGAATGTTCTTGCACCTTTCAGTTGAAGACTTCTATCTTATGGGATATAACACAGTGTAGTCTGTTGAATGTTATCCATTGTTTTGGAGGAACATGTCTCCAAAAGTCAGTTGACTTTCAATGGACTACACAGCCTTATATAAGAGAAGACAGAACTTTTCATTATCACTGCAGTGAGAACCATAAATCCTACCTTTCAGCTGCTATATCCTACTGTCATTCAGTGGTAATTAGTTCTACAGTCTTATGTGCAACAATTTATTAAAACTTATTAAGAGTTAGTCACTTTAATGACATGTTTTGACCAAAGTGGTCATCATCAGGTGTTAATGAGTTATGGGTGAGGAAATTGTTGTCTTTCTGTGTTGCTGCTTCGTTGTTGATGTATGGTTCACCTGGTGCATATGTGTGTATTCATTCTTGCTGTGTTATGTTCCTTTTCTTGTTTTCACATGTCATGAAAAACTTTTAAAGTGACTAGCTTTTAATAAGCTTTAATAATTTGTTGCACATACGGCTTTAGAACTAATTAATACTAAGTGCAACAGGATGCTACAATATAATACTACTGTCATTCCTATGACATAATGCTTACATTATGACTGAATATTACATACCCAGTGATTCACATTACCTTTAACAACACCAGCTTCCTTAATCTGTAACCAGTCACATGTCAGTTTAGAAAAGAAGATCCAAACATAAAGACCAAGGATGTGGTTAGGCACAATAGATCACTGTGGTCACAGTGCAAGGGCCAAGAAGGCCCACCCATTATACATTCATTCATTCATTCATTCAAAGATGTGGTAAAGTGTTTCCTGGTTGCGGCAACTATATCTTGTGAACAGAACTTCAATTGTGGTCTTCTGGATTATGACACCATGTAGTCTGCTGGGCGACGATTAATGTTCTGGAAGAACCTACTGCCATCATATTGACAGTAAAAGTGACAAGAGAGGCAACAGGATTCTCATGTGCATTGGTAACCACCTATTAGACAACACAGTATCATAACTTAGAATACAATCTGAATCTTCATTGCCACAAAAACCTCAAATGTCATAAAACTTACTTCAATCATCATTATCAATCAAAATTATTTTATCCTAATAATGTACACGTCATGTCATCAGTCTTCCATCCAGGCTGCAACAACGTTTTTCAACAACAGAAAGAGAAACAAATGAACATCAATAACCCATTACATCAGGTTGTAGATTCAAATTTATTGTTATAGGGCTACTACTAGTAGACTGGGTCAGAAGCAATCTTTACCTGTATTTCATTAAATACTCACCGTATTAAGAAATATTTAAAATAAAAGTTACATATTAATGAAGTATACATGTTACTACATGCAGATTTTATGATATGAGGATATCAATTACTTTGCATCTGAGCTCACAGTTGACTGATATAAATCAAAATCATATTCACTCTATAATTTTTGATTGAGCCGCCCCTCAAAACCACAGACTAAGTGTCAACCTAACACGAGTTGGAACAGAAGCAGTCATGATGATACAGAGTATATCATGAGTCTTATCTCTGGTCTACTGTTTAATCACAAAAAGAACTTAGTATGGCTAGGCTCTACTGTCTTAAGAAACTGGAAATCAGCTACACATAATTTTGAGAGTGTCATTTCAGTCCCAGAAATATTTTCTCAATACCAGATTTAATCAAAACCATGGAAATAACTTTGAATATGAAATGTGGGGAGAGAGACATGACCTTCCCAATAGGAGTTCACTTCATGCATTATGTGCAGAGAATGCATAAATAAATAGTTGGCTGACATTATTTCAGCTGTTAACTACTCATGCAGCACTGATGCTACACGAATTTAAGACTGCAAATGCTGACTTGGTTATTGATGAAACTGAAAATTAAAATGAGGGAAAGGTTTAAGTTAAGGATGATTAAATTGGGGTTCCTCTGTACTCTATATAGAAAGCTGTTTTAGAGAGCTCTGAAAATGTAAAAGATTACATATGCATATGCACTTACACACAAATAAGTAAAGGTAAAAGGTAAAGTTGTCCCTGTGCTTAACTAATTAAGCACTATGACATGAAGGTGTGTGGGGGAGTGGATGTATAGATCCACATTTTCTTGACTTCTGCACTAGTTGGAGCTGAGTTGTCAGCTTCATGCCTCAGCTGCTTTACTCCTGGGAGCCACTGAATAGCAGGTTGGGTCGGTTGGGTGGACCCCAGAGCCGGTCTGGACGACACGGGGAAGTGAAAATTCTTGACCCCATCAGGACTCGAACTCGGACCCCTCCATCATCCAGCCAGTAGCCACTTAATATACCGACTGCACTACCCTGACTCATCACACACAAATAAGTACATACATTATCTTTTAAAGTAATTAACAAAGAATAATTTTCTTCAAATTTTATTACTATGGATTATTAAATCGTGCTGTCAGTAATGATGACTATACGACATTGATTTTTTTTCCAAATAAATTAATTTTACAGTTGATAGTTAAAGCAAAGGATGTAATGTCATGACCTTCAGCAAAATTACATTTTTAGTAAAATTAAAACATAAATTAATTTGGGCAGCTAGGAGCTTATCTATAACACTATGAAAAACAGTTACATCATCAAAGTAAAAATATCCATAAGACTTATTAATCATAAATAAAATACATGTAAAATTAATGTACTAGTACTTTATATTTACCATAATAGCCTGGCTAAAAGAAAATGAAGCTACTAGCTACAGCATTAAAGGTTTCGTCAGTAGTAACAGAAATATGGACACAGTCCACAAAGAACAAACTATGCAATGCAAATTTAAGTACTGAAGGAATGAAAAGTGATGTCTCTAGCAACATGGTGTTTGGACAACTCCAATGTAAGAAACATCTCACTTGTTCACTTAATTCTGTCTAAAATGCAATCCAAAAATGTTCACAGCCTCTCCTTTAATTTAAAATGCCATTAAAATCACACTGAATTGTGCAAGGCCATCTTAAGGCAATTGTGCACCAAATGAAACTGACGCACTGCACCAGTTCGTTGCCAATGCATCCCATGCTACTGCATATCACTGTTTGCACTAAAATATGTTTGGTTTATAAATGAACACTCCCTTCCCTCCATGTTATTTTCATTTTGTCATATCCATGTTCTGTAATGTAACAATGGTACAATAACAGATACCCTGGATGTCATAAGAACAGGAAGGAAAAGTAAACATTTGCATACCTTAGCAAATATTATATTTATAAAATTAGTAGGAATGACTTAACTTGCATATGAATGATACATACACTGACACATACAACCTCATATATCAGACATTACATGAACTTTACAACAGACAGTAACATACATACCTCCAGAGGATATATATATATATATATAAAAAGAACAATCACACTGAATGATCAATACAAGGAACACACGGCCGACTAGTGAGAACTAGACACGAAGGGGGGAATGTTAGTACACAATAAGTACACAATATAACATACAGACATACAAAAACAGCAAATTAATAAAAGTATGATACATCTTTGCATTAACAATAAACACATGCCATCCACGTCACAATACATTACAGAACATGGATGCCACAAAATGAAAATAACGCAGAACAAAG